CATCAAGAAGACGACTGGAGATTGCCCTTGTGGCAATCTTGTAATCTACGTTTAGGAGGCTTATCGGCCTCCAGTTTTTCGTTTTTAGTCGGTCGTTCTTTTTATATAAAATTATAATCAATCCTCGGCGCTGAGAGGTGGAAAGCTGGCCTGTCTCGTAAGCAACGTTGAGAACACTGACCAGATCAGTGCCGAAGGATTGCCAAAAGCGCAGGTAGAACTCCATCGGAAAGCCGTCCGACCCCGGAGTTTTACCATGCGGCATGCCTGACAAGGCGGAATAACACTCCTGCTCAGTCAAAAGGCCCTCACAAGCATCACGTTCCCCCTGGGAAAGCTTGCGAGTGACCTTTGCCAACATTTCATCTTGTGCGACTGGGTCACACTGCTGAGCAGTAAAAAGGGAGGCATAATAACGTTGCCACACGCCTAAAATATCAATAGGGTCATGACACACCTGACCCGATACAGGGTCACGGATAGCCGACACCTTCTGGCGTGCCTGATGTTTGGCCTCGAGCCCAAAGAAATAGGACGATGAGGAGTCCCCCTCCTCCGCCCACTGGCACCTAGCTCTTGTTTGTGCCCCCCGGGCTTCGTGCAACGCTATTTGACGTAGGTCTTCCTGCACCTGACAAAGCTGTGCAAAAGCAGATGAATCACCAGCCTCGAAGAGGCGTTGCAACTGATGCATTTGTCGTGTTAGGGAAGACTTTCGACTACGTCCATCCTCGGCCTTTGCCTTGGAAAATGTACGAGTGACCTCTCGCAGATAGTACTTGCCTTGGTCCCACCAATCCAGCAAGGAAGAGTACTCATCAGAACCCTCCCTACTCTGCCAGAAGGACCAAAAGGACGCGACGAGGTCACAATACTCGGGGTCATCCAGGAGGGACCTGTTGAATTTCCACACCCCTGGACCCCTAAAGTTCTGTTCGAACTCAAATTTGACCAGCAAATAAGAGTGGTCGCTAAAAAAGGAGGGATGGTATTCACACTCCTTGATGTTGTCTTGGAAAACAGTGGGGGCCCAAACCATATCTATCCGTGAAGCAAACTGCCCAGACCCATGGGTCCAGGAGTAGGCCGTCTGACCTGGATGTAATGTTCGCCACAACGGATAGGTTTGGGTAGCCGAAAGCAAAGATTGTAATGCCGGCCCACTTTCCTGATATTGAGCCGTCTGGCTCCCAGTGTAAGTTGACCGACGCTTCCGATCCAAAGCACTGTCCAAGACACTGTTAAAATCCCCACAAATGAATGTGGGGCAACTCAAGTCAATAAGTTCTGGGATTGAGGAAAAGAACCGATTACGCTCCGCGTTCTTATTCAGGGCGTACAGAGAGACGAAAGAAAGCAAGTGTTCGTCAGCCTCCAGATGCACTTGCACAAAACGGCCCTCCTCATCCCTAATGACCTTATTGACCTTATGTGTATCCCTTACAAGAATGGCAGTGCCACAAGATTTATTTGACACCGAAGAGGATACAACCCTGTAACCAGTATTACCGAACCACTTTCTTATGGACTCGTGCGATGAGGCATGCGTTTCTTGGAGACACGCAAAGTCAACCCTCATGCACTTAAGCCAGTCCACAAGTGCGGTTCTTTTTAATTGGTCACTTAGACCATTAACATTCAACGATAAGAGATTGAATGTTAATGGTCGAAAGAAGAGGAACCATCTTCCATCTCAGCTGTTGCTTTGTCAAGTGCCTGCCACAAGGTGGCAGCATCTTCCAGACTGTGCGAAGCATTGGCAGCATCTTGAAGGAGATGTTCAGTTAATTCAGCGGCTTTCTGCAGACTTGAAGTCGTGCTTGCCCCTGATGAAGATTCGACATCGGACCCACTGTGATCTGATTCGAAATCAAACCACATGTCATCGTCTGTAAGAGGTCCACAGTTCGAGTTGGCCTCTTCCAGTGTCACCTCCTCTGGCAAAGGAATGTCCTGAGGGGGACACAAGTGACAGTGTGGATCGCTATGACTCACAGAATCCTCTGTGGGTTCGGCTACAAAAGTTTTTGGATTGTCATCCCCAGACACTGTAGATGAGTCAGTCGGCAATTCGGACACAGGCGCAGACTGGGCCTCCATCTCCTCAACTCCTAGGGGTGCTATTGGATCGATTACTGTGGATCCGTCAAGACAATCCTCTGTGATAACAGTTTGGCCTAAAGAAGCGACATCAGTAATGTTCTTGCTAGGCCCCTCCGCCTCATTTCCCGATGGTTTTTGGGGTTTTGCAGAACGCTTAACACGTTTGGAATGAGGCTTTGGGGTAGCTGACATCTCTGCCAAACTATCATCACTCTCCTCACTACTAGAGGAGACATGCCTAGATTTGCCCTGTTTACGGGCAGCAGCAGCCGGGTTGGACACAACAACTTCCAACTGTTTGCCTGGCTTTGCCGTGACTTTACGACCAAAGTCAGTCACCATTGAAGATGATGATGTAGCTGTCTTTGACAAACTAACGGACAAATCTAGGTCAAAGGCCTGAGTGGAAGGAGCCAAAGAAGTAGCGTTTCGACGGGCGATCAACTTATCCCATAAATCACGTGGTGATTTCTCAAACGCAACTTGAACCTCTTTTAGCACTGGTGTGCGAGGAGGTTGCACCTTCCGAGCTTCCTCTGAAGCTTTAGCCTTATTTAATTTTTCCCTCAGGTCAGCAGGTGGCTTTGAGGAAGCAGGTGACTCCTGTGATGTTGAAGGAGGCACATCACGCTGCTGTGAGGGTTTATTTATATTACTAGTAGCAGACTGTGCACCAGTCTGCTTGCGGACAGGTTGTTTACGTGCGGCCTTTCGCGATTTGGGGCACTCCTTTGCCGTATGCCCCACCTCCTGGCATACGTAGCAAGTTGGAAGTTGACCCCTATATCTAAAGGCCAGAGTAAATCCAGCAACCTTTAATTCCGCTGGTATAGAAGTATGTACAGACATTGACACCATTCGAGTGCCGGTTTTGATGGTCGGAAAACCACGCACAGTCAGGTGTTGCACGGAAATCACTCGACCGTATGGCGCCAATGCCTCATATAGATAATTATCCGCCATTTGAAGCGGAGCACGATCAACAAAGACCGACTTGACCTCTTCATAGGCGGGAAATGGCGTTAGAGTTACCCCTCTAAACGACAGGCCATTGATTTCATACCTGACACGTATAGAGGGGGACTTAAATTGAACACGAACCTTATGGTTTGGCAAGATCTGAACTGCCAAAACCCTGTCCGCCCCAATTGCCTTAACAAAATCAGCCCTTAGCTGAGGAATTTTGCCCTTACCTACCAACCGTTTGGGCACATGGAACACAGATGTTGTGGTGTTCCATTTGGCAAAATCCTCTTTGGTGAATGGGCGACTTGCCATAGTTATAAAAAATATATAAAAGCGTGTGTTTATAATTTAAGGTGTATTCTAAAAACTGCGACACAAAACACACAGGTAAATTTAATTAGCAAAAAACCAAGTAAAACTAATTCAGTCAGTACAACCCGTAAAAGGCGACCAACGTTCACAGAATACGTGGAAAAACTAATAAAACCTACAAATACACCAACAAAGAGCACCCGTGTACCTGTCTTAAAACAAACAGACAAGCAAACAGGTAGAAAGCAAAGAGCTCTCCCTAATAAAGAGCAAAAACCTTGCCAAAAACTACAAAAAACAACTGCGCATGCGCACTAAATATTTACAAAAACCTGTCCTTTGCCAAAGAACGAGTGCCAGGGAACAGACTATATTGGTCCAAGACCTCAAGTCTGCAACAGAAGCAATGACAAAGAACAGCAAAAGGCAACCTTCCTTTGAATGGTCCCCTAGTCAGACCACTCGACAGGAAAACAACCAGAAAACACACTAGTCACCACTACCTAATTATATATACAAAAAACTGGTACTGGCGGCCTTAAACTGTGCTGGGTGCTAACCACCCAGTCCCACAGCCAGGAAAACTACTTGACCACGATCCGAAGAACGAGGCAAGCAGTCAAAAAAAGAAAAAGAACTGGACTAGTTGCTACCTAAACGCCCAACAAGTTAGGCTGGCCAGTCAACCGGAAGACAGAACAAAGAAGAGGGCGTGTCTGCACAAAGAACTGCAGCTAGTAAATAACCTGTGAGCGAGTTATGGACCGTGTTCCAAGCATAGATCCTCACTCAGCAGGTGCGAAGAACCTGACGCAAGAAAGTACCTCGCGTCAGGTAAGTATGCTGTTGTTTACGGCGCTCACCTTATATACGCGATGATGATGAGACGCGATTGTGGTAGTTCGGGGCTTTCCCTCTTGTCTTGAACGTCATGTGCCGCGATCTAGAGAATGAAAAAGTATGCTAGTAAAATTAGATGTAGTTGATTCGGTTCATAGCCGAATGAAAACACTCTCACAAGGTGTGAAATATCAACATAGGATAAATAATAAAGTGTTACAAGTCATATGATATATATGTATGTTATATATGCATGAGAAAGCCGTGATATATTATTTCACGTGGTATTCGAGTATGGTGTTAATATAAATCTATCGGCATGTGAAAAGTACTTAAGTGTGTGTGATCGTCTAATAAACTAGAGATTGCTTTATAGTTTGATTTGAAATAAAAAAATGTTCTTCCCCGAGTGGGGAAGGGGCCGTACTCGGATGTAGTGCAATACCGAGACAACCCGTGGCCAGGGCGAAGCAAGCTTCAATCCCATGGCCGAAGTCCAAAAATCAGTTTAATATATGAGTTAGGCATTGCCTAACATATCAGATATTAAGCTGATAAGAACAGATACTACACTTGATCTTAGCCAACAGGCCGAGAAGCGATGCCTTCTTCGCCGTCTGCCACACATATTTCTACCGAACACTTGTGCTACGAAAACGCGGTGAGAAGGAGCTCGCTTGCGAGCGATTATGACGTCGACAGGCGCCTGATTACTCGTCGCACGAGCACGGCAAGTCCGTGGTGATAGCCCACCGCGAGCCTCGCGGTGCTGTCGCGCGCGCGCGCGCGGTCGTGGAGAGGGGCACGGCGGCCATGTGGCATGGACCGCGAGACGAGAGTTGCGAACGTATCGGCTTTCGCGCTCCTTAAAGATCCAGGAATGCGTCGAGCTTCTTTCACTCGCAAATTGCATTGTGACCCGGAAAGGCTTCGGGTCACGCACCGTGAAATAATGCGATGTTTGAATAAATGTTTACTTGGTATTCTATAAGTTTGTTTGACCGGCAAAACACGTGCGCTTGATTGACATGCGAGCCAGTTAATCGGCACTTGGAATGTAGGTGCGATGGCTTGAAATTCCGTTGGCAAGCAAGTGACTTTATACAGGGAATCAATTGAATAGTGTGCAAAGACTCGTTATGGTAAAATATAAACGTGTATTATAGCTTTGCTTGCCATATAATATGCACACGAGATGGAGAGATTTCGGCACGGAGAATATATAAAGAGAGTGTGTGCTGTGATAAATGACATGTTTGACATCGGATTCTATACAAAAACAATCGACACACACGGCAGTGTTAAGAAAGAACACACACGGCTTTATATACATTTATACATGAATATTATATGTTGAAGGGGACGAGCGCGAACGCAGGTCCCCACTACCAGAAATTATACGCTCGAGTTACCCACATTAGGGGTAATCGCAGGAGTCAACCCAGTCGAAGTGCAATGAAAGGGCCTCATCCTGAGAGGACTTCCTAGTTGATCAAGGTGCCTCTCGCGTCAGGTAAGTTTATGTTTATAGCCTGCTTAACTCAATCCCAAAGGGAAAGTGCAATGAGCAGCAGGTTAAAACACACAGGAGATCGCCCACGTCCTACAGGGCAAAACTGCAGGCCAAACTAGGGCTACCAACCTCCTGAGCGCAATAACAACAGTACGCATGCGCACTGTGCTAACCTCCAGAGGACACAAAGTGACCAATGGTGAGAGGTTTAGACGAACTCCGAAGAGAACGAATAAATAAGACGAACTAGCAAGCTAGAACGAATGAATAAGACGAACTCCGAAGAGAACGAATGAAAAACTTAACCATGACGCGTCAGGTAAGTTTTATTTTATTTGTCATAATATATCTATTTACAATTATAAATAGTGCTATGATACATTATTAATCGGGTGGTACAACCAGTACCCCAACAAGTGAGGAATTGAACCTCACACCCTTACACTTATTTAGCATATACCTAGATTTGTCATCTGACAAAGTAGTATTAAAAGTTAATCATTTAAATGTTCATCATTGTTCAAACATATAGATGTTTACCAAAAAATCCTTTTAAGGATGATTGAAGTCGCTAATTTCAACAGTTCATTTGCAGACAATGTTATTTAACTAATTTTTTCCATCTTATGATGGACACACAACATAAGGTTCATTGTCAATAATCCATTATAAACTGCCTTCTGGGCATACAGCAGGTGTTGCTGCTTCTCTGTGACACCAAGATGTTTTGTTGTCCGGACCATCAGAGTTTCCCCTTCTAAATCATATGCCTTCGTACACCTGGGTTGTATAGGTGCATCCGCCTTCGTCATGAGCTGCCAGTGTATGAAGCAGAACCCCCTGGCTGCTTCTTCCTTGTAGGCTGCTTTCAGGCTGATCAACAGGTCTTCCATGGATAGGACAACATGGCGCTGGGCTTGAGTGTGATTTTTCCGAAACCACACCCTCACCGACACAATTGGATCACTGGGCCCGGTCCATGTGGCCACAGAGTTATACTTGGGTTCCTCCTTCGTTACGTTGGAGTCTGCAACTGCTGGACTACCCGACAAATCTCCGACTGTAGACTGTGCTCCGATGTCCAGGGTGACAAGGGGGGAGTCAACCGACGAAGATGGATCCGAGGAGGAAGGAGGGACCACCTCCATGGGAGATGGCTGCGCAGTAGATGGAATAACCGCTGTTGCAGGAGGAATCACCGATTTAGATGTAGTACCAGCTGGCTGGCACCCAGTTACAACTAGTGGAGTGGGTTCCATAGGAAACTTGGATGCGTGAGGGCCAGAAATCGGTGAGGAAGGGGGTGGTTTAGTAACATGTCGACGCGCTGATGGTATATCTTTATCGGGACACTCTTTATAAGAGTGCCCAATTTGTCGACATCGATAGCACTGGAACGGTTGACCACGATACCGCACCAGTACAGGAAAATCCATTACCCTCATGAAGCAGGGAATGGTTTTTTCAACTGCCATTCGGACCAGCCGAGTACCCGTGAAGATCTTTGGGAACTTCTTTAAGGTCAAGGGTTTTACCGAGACGACACGACCGTAGGGAGACAATGCTTTGACAAACTCATCATCTGGAACACCAAAGGGAGCTCTTTTCACGAAGACGGATGTGAGTTTGTAGTAGGCAACTGTTGGTGTGAGGTGTACTCCCCGAAAGCCAATGCCATTTCGCATGACCTCTGCAGCAGTTGAAAGGTTGGAGAACTCGAGGACGAACCGGCGATTGGATGTTGCTTGCACGGTCCGGAGGGTGGCTGGGTCCAACAAACCAGCGATCTCAGCAGATAACTCCTCGAGCACGGACGACTTCGATGACTGGACAAACGCCTTTGGGATGGTAACGGCGCAGGCACGAGCATTCCACTGCTTGTAGAGTTCAGCCATCAGGAAACTATACCTGATCCAGTCAGCAACCCCTAAAGGCAACCTCCCTTCACAAGTACAGCAAGGATAAAAGAGCGCTGGCCTGCTCCCGACAGTACAACCCGCAAGGGCGACCACCGTTCACAGAAACAGCAAGAAAAACCCAAACCAGTTGGTGGAAGAAAAACACTGCCTCTTAAACACCAATAAAGGCCAGAGAACAGTGAAAAGAGAGCTGCGCATGCGCAGAAGACGAAAGATGGAATGTCTGCGTAAAAGAACACACAGCTTGTAAATACCCGACAGCGGAGTTACAGGACCTTGTTCCTGAGCATAGATCCTCCACTGAGCGGGGGCGAAAACCTGACTCGCGTCAGGTAAGTATGCTGTTGTTTCCGCCGCTCACCTTATATACGCGATGATGATGAGACGTGATTGTGGTAGTTCGGGGGGTTTCCCTCTTGTCTTGAACGTCATGTGCCGCGATCTAGAGAATGAAAAAGTATGTTAGTAAAATTATATGTAGTCGATTCGGTTCATAGTTGAATGAATGCACGCTCACAAGGTGTAAACTATCGACATAGGATAATAATAAAGTGTTACAAGTCATATGATATGTATGTTATATATGCATGAAAAAGCCGTGATTATATTTCACATGGTATTCGAGTATGGTGTTAATAATCTATCGGCATGTGAAAACCCTTAAGTGTGTGTGTGTGTAATCGCTTAATAAAGCTAGAGATTGTTTTTAGTTTGATTTGTTTTTGAAATAAAAAAATGTTCTTCCCCGAGTGGGGAAGGGGCCATACTCGGATGTAGTGCAATACCGAGACAACCCGTGGCCAGGGCGAAGCAAGCTTCAATCCCATGGCCGAAGTCCAAAAAATCAGTTTAATATATGAGTTAGGCATTGCCTAACATATCAGATATTAAGCTGATAAGAACAGATACTACACTTGATCTTAGCCAAAAGGCCGAGAAGCGATGCCTTCTTCGCCGTTTGCCACACATATTTCTACCGAACATTTGTGCTACGAAAACGCGGTGAGGAGGAGCTCGCTTGCGAGCGATTATGACGTCGACAGGCGCCTGGTTACTCGTCGCACGAGCACGGCAAGTCCGTGATGATCGCCCACCGCGACTCTGGCGGTTCTCTCGCGCACGCGCGTGCGGCCGCGTAGAGGGGCACGGCGGCCGTGTGGCATCGAGCGTGAGACGAGAGTTGCGAGCGTATCGGCTTTCGCGCTCTTCAAAGATTCACGAATGCGTCGAGCTTCTTTCACTCGCAAACTGCGTTGTGACCCGGAAAGGTTTCGGGTCACGCGCCGTGAAATAATGCGATTTTGGAATATTTACTCGCTATTCTATAAGTTCGACCGGCAAAACACGTGCGTTTGAGAGTGGACACGCGAGCCAGCCAGTTAATGGGCACTTGGAATGTACGTGCGATGGCTTGAAATTCCGTTGGCAAGCAAGTGACTTTAATATACAGCAGCGAATTAATTGAATAGTGTGTACAAACACCCGAAGTGCTTACAAAATATAAACACGTGTATAGCTCTTTACTTACCATGTAATATGAACTGGAGATGGAGAGATTTCGGCACGGAGAATATATAAAGAGTGTCTTCTGTGATAAACGATATGTTTGACATGGGATTCTATACAAAAACAATCGACACACACAGCGGTGTTAAGAAACGAACACGGGCTTTATACATGAATATTATATGTTGAAGGGGACGAGCGCGAACGCAGGTCCCCACTACCAGAAATTATACGCTCGAGTTACCCACGTTAGGGGTAATCGCAGGAGTCAACCCAGTCGAAGTGCAATGAAAGGGCCTCATCCTGAGAGGACCTCCTAGTTGATCAAGGTGCCTCTCGCGTCAGGTAAGTATGCTGTTGTTTGCGCCGCTCACCTCATATACGCGATGATGATGACACGCGATTGTGGTACTTCGGGGGTTTCCCTCTTGTCTTGAACGTCATGTGCCGCGATCTAGAGAATGAAAAAGTATGTTAGTTAAAATTAGATGTAGTTGATTCGGTTCATAGCTGAACGAAAACACGCTCACAAGGCCGGTGTGAAATATCGGCATAGGATAAATAATAAAGTGTTACAAGTCATATGATGTGTATGTTATATATGCATGAGAAAGCCATGATATATTATTTCACGTGGTATTCGAATATAAATCGATCGGCATGTGAAAAGTACTCAAGTGTGTGTAATCGTCTAATAAAGTAGAGATTGCTTTATAGTTTGATTTGAAATAAAAACAATGTTCTTCCCCGAGTGGGGAAGGGGCCGTACTCGGATGTGGTGCAATACCGAGACAACCCGTGGCCAGGGCGAAGCAAGCTTCAATCCCATGGCCGAAGTCCAAAAATCAGTTTAATATATGAGTTAGGCATTGCCTAACATATCAGATATTAAGCTGATAAGAACAGATACTACACTGGATCTTAGCCAAAAGGCCGAGAAGCGATGCCTTCTTCGCCGTTTGCCACACATATTTCTACCGAACATTTGTGCGACGAAAACGCGGTGAGAAGGAGCTCGCTTGCGAGCGATTATGACGTCGACAGGCGCCTGGTTACTCGTCGCACGAGCACGGCAAGTCCGTGATGATCGCCCACCGCGACTCTGGCGGTTCTCTCGCGCACGCGCGTGCGGTCGCGTAGAGGGGCACGGCGGCCGTGTGGCGTCGAGCGTGAGACGAGAGTTGCGAGCGTATCGGCTTTCGCGCTCTTCAAAGATTCACGAATGCGTCGAGCTTCTTTCACTCGCAAACTG